GTAATTTCTCAAGCGTGTTTATGTATTTACCTTTGAGGTTATATGCAAGAGGGATTATCGCCATCACTCACAAACACACAAGAAGTATTCTTTCTTCTGCGAAAATCTGTATGCACCTCAATTTTCGTCATGAATAGTATCCACCAAAAGTTTTAAAATTTGAATTTGGCCGATTAAGTCCCTATGTTATACTTTATATCAAAGCAATGTTTTTGTGGTATTAGCACCATAATCCCGCCCTTCTGATAAGCTCATGGATTACACGGTCTATAGCACACAGTTCAAAGTAATTTCTTATACCAGAGATATCCGAAGTTCCACAGATTAACATTGGTAATCCGTGTACATATTCCAGTGGCGGGATATTGTGAACGCTTTAATAAACCGGATTCCAATAGAGTCAAGGAATTTCTTGACCATCTGAGCGATTATCAGTTTTTCTGTAAGGATTCTGGTCCATGTGCCTATTTGTATGCATCTAAAGCGCTGAAATTAGTTCCGTCGACTACAGATCTGCAACTGCTATATCAAAATTCTTTCATGTTGCACCCATTTCAATCATATATCCTCCTTTTTACATTAATTTCAAGCGATGCCGATGTTGCAGTACGCAAAAATTACATCATATTCTAACCCATAGTTGAAGGAAAGCAATGCTTCTCAAGGATTGAAAAGGAAATGTTTTCGAACATCATAGCTGAATGATTACCACTCCGTCATATTCAAGAGATTCCAGCTCTCTAATGTCAGTCCCGAAGAGTGGCTATACTGATAGTTTTCATGGTTTATAGATACATACCTGATAATACAATAAAAATAATAATTTGGCACAGGCTAAACAAGTTCACGATGTGAAAGTATTACTGAATTAGTCTGGATTTCAGGATTATTAAATTGTCATCTACATTACATTGTACATACTTGGAAATATACTGATGTATTAGTATTTGGTAGTAACTGTCTTTTCTTCATTTATATATTGTTAAGATTGTGTTGTGCAATTTTTTAAAAATTAATCCTTGTGACTCCACCATCCTTTTAAAATAGACACTTATGTTAAGAACAGTTGGATTACATTAAGTAGGTAGCCTATGTTTATAGCATCTAGAATAATTTTTTTCATTATGGGTACGGATTATTTAAAAGAAAATGGAAACATCTTTTGACTTTGTGATTTACTACTCTTCTCTACAGAAAAAGAAGTGATGGCTCATGAAGTAACATCTAATTCTCTACCAGAAAGAGAAACTCTAACAAATGAAATGTGAGTAAATAACATTTTTATTTTATTGGAGACTGAGACACAGACAAAAGAGTATCTGCTCTGAGAAATGAGGGCACAGAGAGAAAAATTCTAGAAATGAATTTAATAAATTTAACACAGAGATACAGCCAGTGTCTTGCTTCTGGGAAAGTTGGAAAACCCAAGACTTGCTAAATTTTTAAAATCCTAATTAGTTACTGTTCCTTCATACATTTTAATAACCTCCATATGAGAATTGAGTGTAATCTTTACAAGTGTACAAACTATTTTTAGGAATTTCATAGTTTGGACAAAATATCATGTTTTCTAACCTAAATTCAGTACAATGGAATACTTGAATTATATTTGTAATATCACACATGCTATCTCCTATCCTGATGATCTGGTAGTGGTGGAACAAGTAAATTTATTACTTGGGTTTCTATAATTATGTAACCTTGAATAGTATTGATAAATATTAATAATTATTACCTGTTTCAACAGATTACTAGCAGCTTTAAAACAGAAGCTCAAAGACCCAACAATTCCACGTTTAACTTGGCAACTTCCATCACATCATTCAGAATCTGAAAGCGAGGATTCAGAATGTAACAGTGACTCCAGTGCCACATTTTGTTCAGATTTTGAGAAAGGCAATGATAAGGGACACAAGGCTTTGATCCTCATGTCACGGGGTAACAATCCACCAGAAAATCAAGAAGCCATTAACAAGCAGGATAAAATTCAAGCCATTATGGGAGCTAGTTCAATGACAGAAACTGACAGAATGCAGGTGAAGGATGGTCAAATGATGATTTATAATGCAATGGGAAAAAATAATGATAATTCTATAAGTATGGAAGATGCCAAATGTCCCTGTCCTAGTTCTCCAGTCATTCATGAAATCAATACGAACTGGAGCCATTTAATTGAGCCAATTTTTAGTAATGATGACACAAATACTACATTTCTGACAACTGCAGGCACAGAAAATAATGAAAATATATGCGTCAATACAAGCAGTGAACCTGTTGCTCTGACTAACTTAACCTATAAAAATCCAATATCTGATGTGACATCAGTCAGCAATGTGCAAGTCAATCCAATGGAGATTCAATCTGACTCTATGATGTCTAAAGCTGCTTCAGCGGCCATGTCAGCTGACATATTTGCAAATTTAAGTCCAGCCATGGAACACGGTGGCAGTGACTGCAAGACCAGTCCTAATGATTTTGAACAAGATGGAGTTATAAACAAAAATATGCAACTATCAATAGAAGATGAAATTATAGAAATTGGAAAATCATTTTCCCACACTCTGAATATTGTATCAACAGATAGCACAAGTGAATCCTCACCTGATAATATACTACCCCATTGTAAAAACAACCACAAATATAAAAATAAAGGACAAAATAAAGTGTACAACAAATATGAAGGAGAAAGGTTTAAATCTCAGTTTCTCCTTCCTGATACTACAGGAAATATACAAGACGGTGAAAGCAAAACTAAAGCGATTCGTGCAAAAGAGTTTGACTCTCATGCAAGAAGAAACAGACGAGGGAATTTCCCAAAGGCTAGAGAGTTTCATAATCGTTGCCAAAAGAACAATAATCAAGACAATCATAAATCAGAAAGAACGGAAGAAAGAATTCACAGATTTAGAAAGGAGACAGGTAAGGCTGCAGTAAACCTCAGAAGCAGGCAAGTAAATTTGAAAGCCTCATTTCATATTACAGCACTGGTCACTGTGTTCTGCATTTTATGTCACAAAGTATTAATGCAGTTTAAATGGTACAGGTATCGTGTAGCTGCACACTATTTAAGATTATAGTTTTTAGGAATTTGGCATGAAATTAATAAAATAAATGCATTATGGGCTTATCATGTGTGTCATGTTCCCCCAACTACAGTACTCAATAAACTTTGACAAAATTCAGTTTTGGAAATATACACTAAAGTTGTAATGCAAATTTCATGTTTGCATATACTCATTCAGTAAAACCTCTACATTATACAAAGCTTAATTTTTTTATCAAATTTATAAAAAACTGCTAATTGTATTTGGAAACTGATACGTAATTTAAAAACTGGACATGGCAAGGGAAAACCTTATCTATATAAGGTTAATTAAAACTTGACCCAGAATTTTAATGCTTTCTCTTAACCCTCTGTAGCTGAAGCTTACTAATTTCATGGAATGGGATAGGTGTATAATGGGAGAGAGTACCTCAAGAATACTGCCTAATATGAAACAGGTTAAGACAATTTATTAACATGCTATGATAAAAAGTCAAGGCAAAATATGAACCAATTATGTATTTTTAGTTTGTATGCTTTCAGAGAGAAAGAAGCACAAAATCTGTCCAAGCGTAGGCCGTCGTATAACAAGGATGCAAACAGGATCCTTACCTACTCCTCTGTCTAGTACACACAGAAAGACATTTTCTAGAAGACCACATTCAATGGTAATTTCAAATTATATGTACCACTCTCTCCATCTATCACAGAAAATTTCTACCCAGATGTGTTTCCTCAGCTCCTCACACCACTTACCATGATTTTTTCTAAGCTGATAGTCTTTCCATAAAGGTTGATGACACAGGATTTGAGACTTTCGACGAGTACAATCAATAAAATCTTCTTGGGCAATCCGCCGCGTTAACGTGGTTGATTGCCTGAGATTTTATTGATAGTCTTTTATCTGAATGGAGAGCTATCACATGGTAGAAACAGTTTTTATGGAATGAAGGTTCGCTACCTTGTTCACAAGATCCCACCACCAGTCTTCGTTAACAGCATGTACAGTACTGAATGTTTCCAGCCCTCCACTTTTATTTCTTCATTTCATCTGCTTAATACAATTACATAAAATTGTAAAAGTGGCAGGAGCTGGGATAGCTCAGTCAGTACAGTGAATGACTATGGACTGGATGACCGGGTTCGATCCCCGCCAAGGGCCGAGGACTTTTCCTCCAGCCTCTGCGTCAAGACCTGTTCTGAGGCCCACCGTCCTGTCCAATGGGTATCAGGGTCCTTTCCCAGGGGTAACGTACAACTGCGGCGTGTAACATGTAGTTACAATCCAACCAGTAAATTAATTACTATGTCATTTTCAGAATACAAAATATCGTATCCGGGATCGAATGTCAGACATCCAGCAGGAGGTACGGGCATGGTTACAAGGTTGGGGACCATCTGTGGACAAAGCACGGGCCCATAAACTAATAGCAGAAGTGCAAGAAACACACAAAAAAGTTTTATCTTCATCACAGTCTAATGACTGTGGGAATTTAAAGGTTAGTCCATGACATGGAATCACATCATTGGCTTTTAAGACTGTAATAAGAAACAAACCATTCAAATTATCAAATGTATTGAGATAACTGCATGAGATTTGACATTTTCAGCAATAGTACGCTTGTTTCATAATAATAATCATGTAAATTATGTACGTTTAAAACAGGTTTTTGTTAATACCTTTGTTAACAGCAATATGAAGTAGAGGAGTTTTCGCAGGTTTCTGAAAAGTTGGTGTCTCAACTGCAGTCAGCTTTGATGGAGTCTGATACACAGGAGCAAGGCACTACAAATTTGTAAGTACGAATCAATCCAACCCCCCACCCACACACACAAATACCCAAATATAATTATCAGTACTGATTACGGCTAAATTGTAAAGATCACTGCCACTGAACCATACTGTGGGTGCAGCTCATTAAAATTTATATCACAACTTGTTTCTTTAAGAATATTAATTTGTCCTCCATTGCTGGGCAAAGTTTGGTGAAAGTAGTTAATCTGAAAGGAAGAATGTCTATCAAAGAAATGGTCTGTAATACAAGAAACTAACTAGAATGTACGAAGTATAAATAATCTTATAGACAGACTTTTATAAATTCAATAATGACCCTTCTGGTTCCAAAAGGCAAAAAAATTTGACTAGCTTAGCAACTGTTGGCTTCTTGAGGACTCTACTGCATGGGGTAGAATGCTACAGCATGTAAAGTATTTTTTTTCTGCAATAAAAACTGTGAATTAACAAGTCAATCAGATAGATCCAATTCACCTGTAAGAGTCAAAAAGAAATATTTAAAATGACATCAGATTATGCATATACTTTTAATGAATTAATTATGCAGGGGGCAAATTCCAACAAAATGTTTTATAATGCGTTCTTTGTAACATATATAAACTAACACTTAATTTCAACAGGACCTTGGAATGTCATGCCTGCTGTTCTGAATGTTCAAACACCGAAAGCGATGCCAACATTGAGATGTACGGCCAAGGTGGCAATTATTCTGAAATAATAGGATTGAAAAATGCCTCCATGGTACCTCTTCAAAGAATCCAGCAAAGAGAATTGACTCAAGAAATGGCATTGCCAGACGATGATGAAACTGTTAGAGAACATCCAGCTTCTGTAAGATCAAATTCAGAAAAATTCAGTTCAGAATCACTAGAAATAGCAAATAGTAAGGATTCAGCATCTCACTGTTTATGGAAGCACAGTGGCACCTCTTTGGAAGCCACGTGCTCCAATTTACACAATCTGCTTTGCAGTTATGAAAGAACTCCAGAAATAAGAGATTCATTAGAAACAATGAATCACGGCGAACAAGAACAAATTAAGTCCATGCTTTCAAGACGAGACCCACGGTTACGATCAGCCTCGTACGCTAATCTTCTGTTTGGGACCAAAACCAGTCTTACCAATTACACATGTGAAACAGATACACAATCAACTTACTTTTCTAGTGACCCGAGATCTTCAAAGCAGACAGAAATTGTTTCACATGCTACAGATCTTGCCAAGTTTACGGTACAAATGAATAAACCTGCAGACAGTACATCAGTCAACATTAATTCTAATAACACAAACCACACGCAATCAGCACACACATCTAATAATCAGAGCATTTCAGCCATAAGACAGAATAAAAAGGGATCAAACATAAATTCAAAACAAGGAAAATCAAACAGTGAATACACTGCATCTGTGAACGAGAATATAAACGAATTACCAAAAAATTCATATTCTCAAAGCATCTTGAATCTAACCAAAACAAGTGACTTACCTCATCTCTCAGGCTCGAAGTGTACGTACAGTTCAGGTACAAGTAAAGAACAAGCCACAAATTTAAGTGCAACATCAGGGGAAAAACTGATAATGAATTTTCAATCCAGGGAAAACCCACCTGATGAGCACAGAAATCAAAATGTGAGAGAGACAGAAAGTTCAACTTTCATGAAAAATTATGATGAAACAATTGCAGCTAACATAAATATTAAAAAACGTACAGAAACACCTCACAGTTCCATTAAGACCAAAACCAAACATAGAGTTGAATCAAGAACTAAATTAATGTCCAATGAAAATAGCCAACCAGAGGAAAATGTGACACAACCATCAGTAAAAAGCAGAAAAGAAAAGCAGATGGAAAATTTGCAGCAATTATTATGTGAACGTCAACAGTTCACAGCTGAATCACACAGTTCAGACAACGCTGGTCCAACTCAAAACCTGCTGACACAATCAGAAGAGTTATCATTTATTTTTGGTATCAAAAAAATATGGTCACATTCTGCATCAGAGTTTATTCCAAATTATCAGCTTCCTGAAGGCTTCTGGACAGACAATGCTACTCCTGTTCCAAACGATTTGTTACAAGCAGCGGAAAACTGGTAAAACCTAAAAATAAATCATATGCTATATAGTGTTGTATAACATCTGTTAATTGTAAAATATGTAATTCTATCATCATTTCTTAGTTCATTTCGTTGTCTATCTTATAAAAATACATCAGTCAACATTTTATTCTCATCAGTTCTCATTATTACGCATTGTAATTGCTTACACTGTAATATCAACATGTTTCGTGGTACAGGCGTATCACCATTGTAAATCCATGATAATATGGGCTTATTGTGTTGTTTTGCAAAATAAATTCTTTCTATTTCATGTATTATATTTATTATTCATAAGTGAAAACACTGAAATACCAACAACAGAAAACAAATTCTTGATCAACATTCGATGAAATATTAATACAGGCAAACAAAACAAAAGAGATTAATAAAAAGCAATCAAAGTGCCAAAGAAAAACAACAACAACCATATTGATCAAGAAATACTTCATGAGATTTTAAACTCTTATTATCAATAAAACATTATATTTTATTTTTAAACTCAGGCCCGTGACTTAAAACTTTTTACTTGTCAAACATTTATAATATCTAAGCGATACAAACTCATTTTTGAGTTCCGAGGCTATTCTTGGTGCAATTTAAGTAAATTTCATCATTGTGAAACTAAAGTTTGTACTGTTTTTACGTAAAAGTAAAGTAAAGCTGTCCCACTATACACCGTGTAGACACTTGGGGGGTGGGGGTTTGATGGTATAGCTCCTACTCTTTCTTGACCTCAGCAGTAGATGGGGGTGAGTGGTCAGAGTCATGCCCCAGCTGCGCTTTACCCCCGAGAGAGGACCCCTGTACCCACTGGATAGGAGGCTGGGTGGGATCCAGAGCCGGTATGGACACAGAGTCTAGAGGAAAAATTCTCTGCTGCTGTCGGGGATCAAACTCCAGTTGACCAGTCTGTAGCCAGTCACTAAGCTGATTGAGCTATGCCGGTTCTAAAGTTTGTACTGTTTTCATGTTCAAGTGCTAATTTTAATCTGTATTTGGCAAAAATTACTGAAGTATTAAACAAATTTTTCTTTAGCTTCCAAAATGAATTTGTGATTAATTTCTTACATTTTTCTTTTGTGGTACCTCTTGGAATAAAATATAGCAATGCACTTTGCACTAACCAATATTAAGAATTATTAATCTCTTTTGTCTTCTGGAACAAGTTCAAGTATGATCTTATAAAGCATTACTTAGCTTTTAAATTAATAAATAATTCATTATATAGACATCATAAACTTTGGCAATGTACAGATGAGTGGCCCTGAAACACTCAATACTGTTCTCAGAGTACCACCATTTCAACAGGCTGAAAACAGCAATTATACATTAAAAATAGTAGGCCTTTAAAAATATTGCACAAAGTACATAATTTTCATGACCAATCTCAGAAATGCATAGACTAGAATATTGCATTGCCCAATTGATTAAGCAATGCAGTTTTAAATGGTACAAAGGTCACACTACTTTTCCATTATAAAGATCTTTATAAATGGAATCCACACATGATACTTACTGACAGAAGAAATTATGAATATTCTCCCATTGCATTTAGGAAAAAATAAAAAAGGACCAATTCAAATCAATTCAGTAGTCAGTAATCATTAATATTTGTAAGCGGAAATATAAATGCTGCTTCTGTTAGTCTGGAATTATTTTTTCACAAGTTAACAGAATGCAGATCTGACATGTTTTCATTTTCAAAGTATACAGAGAAAATCAATTCACTCCTGATCTGCATTAATAATGCCTTAAATGTTAATTTTTGTACCAACATATTTATATACTCTAATACATATAAAATTTATATTCAAATACACATTCTGAAGTAACTTTAGTTATAGAGAAGCAGAATGAAGAGTTTGAAACTATATAGGCCAGACTAATCATCGCCATCATAATATTAATGATGATGATAACAACAACTTTTCTGTTCTGCATCATTCTGTATAAATCTATCAACAGATTTATGATTTAGACTCTTGAATTCTTACCTGTATTAATGATATGTTTATTTTTAGGTGTTATATAACCATATTACATACATTAAATTTTAGGCCACAAATTATATTAGGTACAAACTAAATAAATGTAAAATACCTTCATATGCTATAAATAAGGGCTGAGGTGAGACCAGTAAAATGTTGCATGTTTTTTACTGATAAAAATGACATTTAATTAGAAGTTTGGAAAGAATTATGCAAAGTTGTCCTTGACCTTAATTATACATCGATGACATGACGATGCATACGTATATTAGTTTTAACATGTCTTCCAGTTCTTCAACCAACACAGCCAGAGCTCTGCGTTACTACTGTGACGCCATGTAACTACTCAAAATTCATATATACTTAAAACTTAATAACAAATGGGGTTTCGATTACAAAGGTTTTAAAATTCAGAATAACACCGAATTTTACATTAAAGTCAGTGAAATAGTGCAATATAATATCTAAAAATACAAAACAGGTGTACATACATCACAAAGCTTTGGCATATTTCTTTTAAATTTACTGTTAACAAAATTAACACCTCTACCACCAGCAAGCGAAAAATACAACGCATCAAGAAACATAATAAAGTTATTTAATGAGGAATAAACTTATAACTCGTTTGTACATTCAGTCAGTTACACAGATTTGTCTAGATTAGAAACTGGAAAAGGTACTGTTAATTCTTTTGAAGTACCACTATGCTGCTGTCCAAGATATTAATATTTTATGGCATATTTAATGACAAAATGGTAATATCTGCAATAAACACAAGGCAGAAATACAAGTATACAATCACAAGACTGGATATGAAGTAAAATGATGGTAATGCCACCATCTCTTATAAACTGGCAATGAAAGCATTCAGTCACATTTAAAAGTACTTAACTCTCTGTATCTAAAGCTCATCTCAATAATATTTAAGAATCCACTTCTTACCTCAAACAAAACACAACTTGGCACCATTACAAAGATCAACAGGTTAATGATGTTTAAGGAAATAATCGCTGTTTATTGTGAGGTTCATGTGGAACACAAATACTTTATTTGGGCAAACAGCAAAATTGTTAAAGGTGTACATACAGTCACCACCAAGTTTTAAAGGGTTGAAGATGTTGAACAGGCCCATTTATTACAATACCTACATAAGAAATCCTGTATACTGAAGCCTTGGAGCCTGTCACGTGACAAAATACAACTTGATACAGCTTTTACTGCACGTATATAATTTAATATAATGATAATTTTAAATGAACTGCAAATAGGTCACTTTTAATTCAAGAACAATAAAATTTAGATTTATGACCAAGGATACTAAATGTAGATACATTTCACAATTTGCAAAAAAATCCTATTACTATTAAACTTTGTATTTCCAGACTTTATTTTCTTATTTTCAAAATGAGATTTGCAAATATCTACCACCCCATAAAACAAACCTGTAACATATTTTAATCAAAGGTATTGTAAATCTGTTGTCAATAATGAAAAATGAAAAATGCTTGAATGCTTAACTTGAATTAGTTACACTTAAGATGGTTCTGTTGTAGATGAATGTAATGTAAAGTAATGTATTTTAATGTAATGTAACGTTTCCTAGGTAACAACAATGCTGAGTAAACAAATGACGTTTCCTAGGTAACAATAATGCCGAGTAAACAGATGACGTTCCCTACGTACACTTGTTACACTTTTTCGTTACACTTTTTTGCCGAATGACCCTTCCTTATAGACGTATTTACGTCAAAACAGAAAGCTCTACTGAGAATGAGGTCCTTTGTTTTAAAAGCAGTGAACACAGATTGTGAAGATGACAGTTCTGAAGCACAAAGCAGTGAGTATACAGGTCATTCTGGGTTCATGCCAGCACATAACACTTCATTAGATCTGGGAGAACTGAAAATTACTGGCATTGCACAGAATGATGTGTTAAAAGGAATATTGTGAAGTGTTCAATCTGAAGGAAACAAAGCCACAAGACAATTAAAGTAAAATGAAGTGAAAACAGACAGAAATATGATGAGCTATTCTTATTTTGTCTTATTACATACCTAGAGATATCTATAAATGGATCTTCTTACTGGGACATTATTTAATATATCAAAATACTTTAATTAATTATAAAACACCTACATTTTTTTATGAATGTTAATCCAAAAGAAATGCGTTCAACAATTTTGAGGCTTAAAGCAGGATAAAGAATTTGATAAAACAAACACAACTTCAAGCATACATTATTTTATGTGACATTTTCATTGCCAGTCTGTCCCACACATATACAAACTTTTAGAAAAGGAATGTTTTACCTGACAATAAGCTGAACTAAAAGCTGAATTTGCCTCGTACTTTGAAAAATCCAAGGGAATTTCGATTATGAATAAGCGATCCAATACCTACATAGTTCTCAAGGACAATAGGTTTATGTTCTATATTGCAATGAGAAGATCTGATGTTTATTGTCTGTGCTTTCTCCACTGCCGAAACAATGTTTTGTGCAAAGTCATCGATGTCATATATCTCACTGGCAGAATTTGTGGAATCTGAAATGAGAAAAATAATATACAGTACACAGAGCCATTAACTCCTTAAAGGAACTAGGCTGCCTTGCAATGAGAGGTTTCTTATGCTATTCGGACATTTAGTAAGACTCCTTGGGCAAGTGATAAGCCAATCACAAGGCCTCTACATACACAGGACGACGTGCCGCAAAAAAGACGCAGACAAACATCGACGCCTTAAGTAGCATTCTAAACCACTCAACCCAGTGTCTGAACAATCAAGACCCAGACTGTGCGCCCAGCGACCAATGCGAGTTTTTATATACGTAACTTAAAACCACAGACGATGTGTGTCATCTATATGAGTACCAACTGTATCTTACCTTTCCGCCATAAAAGTGGATGTGATGTATATGTTGTCCATGGTATATCGTTATTGAAAGGATTCCACTTCTTTATAAAAGTGAGGGGTTCTCCATTGTTCCACATAGCCCTCAACCCACGAATGTTGCGCGATCTGAATGCATAAAACCATAAAGATATCCCTGCGGTTAAACACAGAAGTAGCGTACAGAAATTTAGATAAGCCAAAGGGACAAATTCAGAGGGAGACTTACATGGACAAATTATCACTGCCAAAACTAACAAATGCATGACTTCAAGAAAAACAACAAAGCAGCAAAAGCTAATAAATGTGAACATACTGTGATGAAATTAAATTCATGATTTTATCACAATTAACTTAATAAATAAGACCTTTACCTAGTAATATATATTGACAAAATGTTTCAATTACATCTTAAGAATGAAAGAGTGATAAATAGATACACATTAAACAATCTGCTGCTTCACTAGAAACACAAACACAAAACATCAACACCTAAATATAGCCTGGACAAGTTCTTATTACTATTAAATAAATAAGAAAAACATACGACACCAAATTAACAGATGAAATGTTTTTAATGAGTCTTTGGCGGAAAAGTAAGACTGATTCACAGATTTTTACACTGTCTCCTAGGAAAGTAAAATCTGTGTACAATAGATATGTGACATACATATTAAACATTTTCAAACACTTTGTACAAAGCTGTTGAATTATACTTAAGCACTATAACACACAAAATAAAAATCCCCGGTACAAAATATATTGCACAACAATAAAAAATGCAACTACAAATATAAAGGCACAAGATTTTTAAAAAGCACAACGATAAAACAAAAGTAATTAGAGAAACCATAAAAGAAATAAAACAGACAATGTTTTTTGAACCAGTTCAGGTACCTGGGTTCAAAACTAATGTAGTCAAATGCAGATGAACAGAAGTCTTTTTCAGTATTGCTTTGAGTCCATCGCTCTTGCAGTGGTCTTAACAAGCAGCCCTTGACCACAGTCATCACTCCCGAGGTCAGACCATTCAGCCTTCTAAAACAATATTTTCCACCCAGATACAAGCCAAGCAAAGACAAATGCAATATCGTCCACAAGCTTACAACACCAGACAACAAATCACAGTAGACGATACAGTTCGGCTCAGTGAACGTACATCACTTTACACTGTTCAATGACACAAAATGACATTAACAGGACATGCTAAATGTAAACACTTTTATAAAGAAAGATAATTAAATAGTAGTATGCACATATATATTTATTTTGGTAGAGAGTAATCAATTTTAAAGTGAACTAGATACAACTAAACCAAAACATTGGTTGGATTAAATTGGGCAAAATATGCTTGAATAAAGTGCACATTCGTCTTCAAACATACAAAATCCAATCTTTAAATGTAATCAATAGCACAACTTCAAATAAAAGTAAAACAGATATTTCAATATGATTTTGTGTTACGTACAATGAAAGGTTACTCATTCAGGACACTCATAGGCAAAACTATCTTCAGTGTATTTAATAATGTACTTATTTTAACCCTTTGAAGCTGAAGTTCGTTCAAATATTATTTAGGAATTGAGTCTGTACCACACAGAAAACACAACACTTCACAATTACAAAGATCAAATGGTTAACGCTGTTTGTGGAAATAATCACTGTTTACACTGACAATTGTATGAAATACATAAATACAAAATGCACAGTTAATGATTGTTAAAGCAATTGGTGCATATAGTTACCACAGGGCTTTAAATGGTTAAAGAATAAACAGGCATGCATACCACATATCTTATCATAAGAAAATTACGAAGAAAGAAAACAGGTGCTTTATTGCAAGATGTACATTATTATTACTTCAACACAACTTTTAATCTCTGCTGTCATATCAACACAAAACAAAACAAGCAACAAAAACAGTTTTCAAGGTCGCAGACACAACAACACATTCACCGATGGTCACCACTCAAATATACATCAAGGTGATATAAAAAATGAACAGCAAAATATTAAAACGAGTTAAGGACATAATTACTTTGACCTCATGTAGTTCACTGCTCAACAGTTACTGCACAATCGACGTCTGACTGAATAATACCAAAATTACTTCTTTACATGTAACAAATATGTGCAGTATTTACTGTATGTACATGACCATAAGTTGACCTTGATGTTTTTCTGATGCTGTGAAGACTTGTAGGTAGATGCCAATATTTCAGAGAAACACAGTCTCCATCTTCAGCCCTGAAGATGGAGATACTTTACTTATGAGTCTACACAGCTTATAACTCAGAACATCAATTTCATTATCTTCACTGCCATAAAAACTTCAAATCTATGAATGATTAACCCTCGATATACGAGGTGCGATCGAAAGGTTTCCAGACTGCGCGTATAAAAACCCGTACACTTATCTCAGGTATTAAATTCATCCATCACCCTCGAAGTAGTTCCCCTGGGAGTGAACACAACGATCCCAGCGCCGCTGCCAAGCCTGGAAG